TTTGGATAACGGGCGGCCACCCGGGATTCCAGCCAATGAACGAATTAGTCGTTCTGCATCACTGTGCGACAGTGTTGCGTCATTGTTCAAGCTTGAATTTCCTGCCAATGGGGTTGAAGCTTGATCTTGATTGGTCGAAATTCCAGAACTTGTGTCTGGAACGCCAGCAGCCACGTCAGTCGCAGACTGCGCCCTGATTGGGCTCATAACCAGTGGTGACGTAGGGCTCGTCACGGGGGGATTGTTCTCCATGTGTCGATCGCTTCTAAGAGTAGGAGCCATTTAAATGTAAATACACTTAAATGTCAACTTTAGGGAACTAATCAGGAAGAAACGTAAACACGTATGTTCCGGAGCATAAGCTCCGCGACAGGACTGCGGTGTCTGGCGAGGCTGCTCCTTCTCTGCTGCTCTCTGGTGAGCGGCAGGCGTCAAAACGCTACGTGGTGAGCAGCCTCCGCCAGAACACCGCTGTACCGCAACAGTAGATTAGTATACAGATAGCTAATAAGTCAATACTAAACTCTAGATAAATGCACTCTCGTTTGAGTACACCATCTTGGCAGCGCACAGCCAACGATGTCCTTGTGCATACAGTCCTTGGTATAGTCCTTCGCCATTGCACGCATGTGTACTCAGTGTAGCCGGTTGTAGTGCAGCCGCAAGCTGCACTGCCAGGCGCATGAGTGTCCTTGGGATGTGTCTTTGCAGACACTGGCAGTGGACGGTGGCTCGTAGATGGGGGCACCGGACACTGGCAGACTGCAATGCACTGGCGCTCGACACGCAAGTAAGTTTTATAGCTCACAGCTTCATGCCCACTTGGAAGGAGATCTTACAGGCGTTTCTTCCTTCACGGGTCGCCGCATTTATGAACGTCATTGAGTCAATCGACCAGTTCGCAATGACGCCAAAAGAAGCAGCAGTACTTGCAGCTCGAAACGGGAATGTCGAACTTGTGAGGCGTTTCCTTGATCATGTGCAGTATGACATGGAGAGTGTGGTTACTGCCGCTGTGTCTCGAGTGATTCTCCCAGTACAAGTCTGCGCGCTGTAAAAGATTCAGAGTTCTTGCGACTCGACAGGGTACCAGTAGCTTGCTGTGAAGCATAGGCGACACGATCAATGGCCTCAACGCGATATGGCAACCGAAGATTGAAGGAGACTTTTGGAGCCTTTTCCGAGTAGTTTTGAGTCTGTGGTACCTGGTCGAGTTTCTCCAATAGTATTTTCTTGTCCATCGATAGCACATGTTGTAGACAGGAGTATACACGTATACCATTGCGAGTTTGTCTTTCAAATCTCTCCGGATTTAGGCACAAACAACACGGTGCACTCAACAAATTGTGGCTTTCAGAGCCTCCTACACTCTGTCGAAGTCTTTGCAAGATTCGTGTGGTTCGTTGGTGAAGCCCGTACAACATGAACGCCGTTTGTGATAGATCTGTAGCTATGATAGCAACCACAGAGACGAGTGACGTAGCGCTCTGCATGCACGACGACACATAGACAGCATTGAAGAAGTCTACAGTGAAGATCACCGCTTCGGGCGTCATGTCTTCCATGTGCACTGCACACTGAAGCATCATATTCCTTAATGCCATCTTCATAATCGGCAATAGAAAAGTAACAGGAAGCTGGTATTGCGTGCCTTGTGCGAGTCGGAAAAGCGCCTCATAGGCTGGATATGTGCATGCCACGACATTCTCAGCTACAAGAAACGTGATATACCGAATAAACTCCACTCTACTAGCCACGATCTGACGGAAAACACGCTTACCCGCAACTAAGCGAAAGATCACGGCAAAGATAGCGTAGAATAGAGGAACCAGCGTCAATACAAAGAAAGGAACAGGGAACACTGTGTGAGCTGAAGTAAACGCAGCGGCAAAGGTGAAGATGACCGCAGCGCAGACTGAAAGCAGGTGTTTGCGTTTCCACGAGATTAAAACACCGATAAAAGAGTTCATCTGATCCACAACCACACGACCGATCACCAGTGACAGGATAGCAGCTCGAAGCCAGAAGCCATAGTTTTCTCTCCAGTCCTTAGTTGGATCTTGTAGCGGGATCGACTCTTGAATTAATACAACCGCGACAGTAGGGAAAGGAGTCGCGAGACACACAGCGATCGCACGTGACGACGGTGTCTTCTTTGATAATTCCTCGAGTGCAAACAACCGCTCGATCGAGTACTTGCCGCCGTAATAGCTGACTTGAAGCTGTTTCCAGGCGCGCAATAACAAGTCGAACCAGGTCGAAGGAGTAGAATTACGCGCGTTTAAAAGAAGGAGTCCTGCTGGAGGCTGCACTGATGGTTGTACTGACGTCATCGCCGTCGGAGTTGTTGGTGACGAGACAGTATCGGGTCTATTTCTGCAAAGGACACTATTTTTGGTATTTGGACCAGAATTATTATATCTTATTAAATGTACTAAACCGCCGCCTTTTATTAGCTCATCGCTTTCTGTAAAAGAAGTTAACCCTTTCGTGGTCAAACGCGGCATTTTGCCGCGTTCTACAAAATCCACACCTTGTTTTGCTTTTGCCAATCAGATCTTCGGATTACGGCTTCTGATAGATCCTTTCTGTGCCGACTGGCGAAACTGAGCTGTGAATATCGCGAGAGCGCGTATCTTTTTCGGTCAGCCTAGCGTCATATTTGCGGTTCGGCTGGTAGCCCCATGAAGCGCAAGGAAACAACGTGTTGTAAACAAGGCTAGCAGATCATAAAACCTATCATAAAAATTTGGTCGAGGCTTCAGCCCCAGAGCCACCAATCGTGCTGGTATCAACTATAGTATTCCTAGGTTAGATGCATGTCTTCTCTCTCAGTATTTTTTTGATATGCGGACCAACTTCACCGACGCACAAGACAAACGAATTGTAGCGCTTGCACTCGAGTATAAATCCCAACACAAGCGAGTAGAGTGGAAGGAGTTGGCGCGGGCCATGAGGAGTAAACATTCTGTCCAAGCGCTTGAGAACCGGCTGCGTGCTCTGAAGCGCACGTATGGACGTGATCTATCAAGATTTCCACCGTGTTTTTTCTCCACGTCGACGCCAACATTCTCTCACAAGCAGCATCTTCGTCCATTGGAACCGAGCCAAGCCGAAAGAAGTGCTATCGCCCGATATCTTCAGCCAACGTTTTGCGGCCCGCGGACGTTTCGTCCAACACACGGGAAAGAACGAAGTAAAACGCCGGTGAGAAGTCTGCCTGCCGCCTTATATTCAAGCGTGAATTCAAATGTAATGGAGATTTATGTTCATCTGAAGACGTCTCTTTCTTGACACTGGTGCTGGGTCTCGGGAAAGTTTGCGGCGCCATTTTGGATTCAGACGCATGTCAGCCAATGCTAGGGAAATCGAGAAACGACCGGAAGTTTTTCTTCGAGGTGTTCATTGTTTGCGAGAGCATGCACCAAGGCTGCTATTACTCCACAAAGTGTTTTTGAGCCAAGGAGACGTTCTTGATACGCCACTCTCGTCGCGTTTACCATTTCAGCGTGCATCAATAGTTTTTCTAAACGATTTCCTGTTTGATGAATTAGCAAAGCTGGCCGTACAAGAGCAGCTGTATATGATGCCGAGAGTACGTTTGATCGTTTCTACGTCTCGCTATTGTCCTCGCCATCGCGATTCCTGCCGAAGAAGATTTTGCTCCAAGTGGAGGCTCGCGAAAATCACGTATGGACGGGGTAGCTGGAAGTCTCCTCCAATCCCAATTTACATGTACACGACTGTCCAGTGACTGGAGATTATAGTGCGTTGATCCTGAGACGGTCATTGAGGCAAGTATCACGGGGACAAGGCAGGCAAGTGGCCGAAGACGAGCGAGGACGTGGTCTTCTTCACGATGTCGGTCAAGTTCAACAAGGCACTGGACAACAAGGGCAAGGACATGTTCCTGTCGTATCTAGCCTAGCACGAGAAGAAGGTGTCCTATGGCAGCTCGTACGTGAACCCGATTTCTGCGAACGTGAGCAACGTGTATGCCGAGCTGCCACCCGCGGGCGTGGACCACGCGTACACCAAGCGGCTGCCTGCGGCGAGTCGCCTTAGGTGGTCACGTTCGAGCTGGTCATCCGCGGCAGCACCCAGCGCCCGCACTCGCTCGTGCTCAGGAAGCTCAGCACGCACGTGTTCAAGACCGACGACAAGAGCGTCAATGAATGAGTGCCAGTCAAGCAAGGCCTAACGGAGAAGCAAGTCCAGAACCTCAACCAGTTCGAGGCCAACGACAGGGTGGACGCCAGGCCCGCAGGACAAGAAGCTCGCGGACTACGACGACACCCCAAGGCCATCTCGGAACCACGCCACGACGATATCATTGGGGAGCGAAATATCACAGCAGTTGTCATAATACAGAGTATCTAGAACAGAGACAACGGCGGAAATAGTTTAATCAAGATATATTCACGTTTACGCAAAATTTTGCCGTGTGACTCTACCCTGTTGGTTCGGTGGGCTCTGCTGAGGTTGTTATCTGCTTTCACTTTGTTGCCCTGGTGACCAGTGCTAATACAGATTATTTAGAACAGAGACAACGGCGGCAATAGTTTGTTCAAGATATATTCACGTTTACTCGAAAAGTTGTCGTGAGACTCTAAGGATACAGTGTATCTAGTGTTGAGATTGCTCTTCGCGTGGCAGGCGTGTGTCCTGAAGGTTAATAAGTTGAAGTAGGTCGAATGGAGCTATCTGATTGGCTGATCCCAAATGATTGGCATGGTTAATGCCAGGGTCGGATTTGTGCATATCCAGTCCACATACAAAACTCAAGTGATTTTCGTCGCCAACGCCTATGACGAGTATAGGCGTTGCCGACGAAATGTATCTTTTGTGTATGGATTTACATGTGATTAGGAGGACTACGAAGGAAAGTAGAAAGGAGCTAGCAAAGCACTACAAGAACCACTAACTCAATAAAACTCACTTTCGGATTTCATTTCTTTTTAACACTCGACTACTACAAGCCTCGAACGCATACTCTCATTCCTAGAACAGAGACAGCGACGGCAATAGTTTAATCAAGATATATACACGTTTACTCGAAAATTTGTCGTGCGACTCTAGTCTGTTGGATCGGTGGGCTCTGCTGAGGTTGTTATCTGCTTTCACTTTGTTGCCCTGGTGAACGGCTCTCATCTAATAGGCTGCGTTGACTCGCTAGATCGTCTCCGACTAGTTGGGTAACGCATTTGCATTGAACCTTGAGCTTGGCCAAAGTTAACCCTTCCGTTACGAGAGCAAATCTTGAATGCACAGACTATTTTTCACATGCTTGATATCAAGCATGTTAAAAAAAGTCTTAACGTAAAATTTGTATAGGAAAAAAAAAAGATCGGTGTCTGTATATTTGGACAAGGTCCTGCAATCGTACGTATTATGAGCCCACATGCTTTATATCGAGCATGGTGAGTAAATTCGGTAAAGCCCCACCCCGCGACATCATGCATGTGCAAAATGGCTCTTTTATGAGAATGAATCGTTTTTGACGGAGTCACGTGCAGAACGGCTACGAAAGCAAATTTGTGTATTGCATCTGTTTGCTAAAAGTAAGTCATTTGGGCTATCACCTACGCAGTTTCACTGTTTCCTACTCTTGGTGCTCTCTCTCTACCGCGTCGTCACCCCCAAGTTTCCGTTGTCTCGTTCTGATCTCTATCAGAATTTTCACCACCATCACTTCCCTCATTGCCGAGGCCTGCGGCTTCCTCCTCGTCCCCACCCCCCCCCCCCTCCTCTTCACGGCCCTCTTGTCCTTCCGCCAGCTTTTGGGGGAAGGGGGGGGGAGGGGGGGTCAGCTGGATACCGCGGCCGTGGCGCGGCTGTGGGCGCTCGCTTCCATTGCGCCAAAGCTGGTGCCAAATGGAGAAGCAAGTCTGGTTGTTATTGGGGTAATGTGCTTGGCGCACCTTGTCACACAAGTAGACACTGCATTATACGTGTTAGATAGCAGTAGTAAGAAACATAGAGCATAGCAACGTACCGTTTTGAGCCTTTACTGCAGCCAGGACAGTAGACTCGCGTCACCTGCCGCTGTGTACTGCTTGTTTTCCGTATAGTACATACCTTGCACTGCCGTTGACGTCGCTTTCGAATTCCATCACCTCCACCCATTCGTCGTCCATCTTTAGCTGGTGGGTGGACGGTGGAGCGTCGCCATGCAGTGGTGTAACTAGTCTAGGTGAGTACATCTTTGGACACATACAGTAATAGTTAGCAAAGAGAATAACAAGCAGAATAAGCACCTTACTTACCGTGTTTGCTTTTCTGCTGACCCCACTTGTAGTAGCTGGGCTTGCAACTGAGCGATGAAAGCGGTTAGTTTGAATGGTCCCCACAGAATAGATGTTCCTCTCAAAAAGTTGTAGCGAGCTTTGTATCTATTTTTTTTTAGATAAATCAGACCCTTCTACGATGCGCCAATTGTCAATGATGCCCTTCCAGCGTTCGGCCTCGTCCTTACTTCGTGGAGGTCGCTGTCCCCCGCGACGGTTTGTTGTAGAAGCTGCGCCAACTGCAGGTGTAGAACTCGGTGAATCGCCAGTTGGAGGCGCATCTAGTGACAGTTCATCACTCGTCTCCGTGTCGCTCTCGCTTGGCATCTCAGCATCCACAACATCTCA